CTCGGTGATGAATGAGCATTAGGCTAAACTCATTTTAAAAGCATCCTGATTTATTAGCGCACCGGCCTTCCATTTTCATCAGGTCAATGCGCTGGCTTTGGAGACTTCACAATGTCACGGACAAGGTCACCCTCGCTCTCATGGCTGTTTTAACCTCATCACTCACAGCAGACACTGAAACAAGTTCCCATGGATGTTTTCACTTAGTGATTGCGTCATGGATGGGTGTGCTACAAGTTTTGGTTCAAGATACGTATTTTAATTTGTGTGATTAGTGTTTTCAATCTCAATAGAAATGAATTAGAATGACGTGTCGGTAATGTCATTTTGGCATGCAAAGTTCTACTGATAGAGGTGTGTACCTATTTAGTCAATACTAAACTAAACATAACTGAATGGTTTGAGTTGAGTTGGTGGAGGATCTAAATACTGAAAATATTATTCATAAATATAGTATGGTTTTCTCAAACAATTTATATAATTAACCGGACGTTATTTATTATTCAACATTGATTAGAAAGCAATGTACATTTGTAAAGCACATTGGGTTGCCATGTGTGTGAATTGAACCATACTGGGACTGCCTTGCCATTTCACTCAGTAACCCCTTGGAACTGAGATATGTATTATTTTTAGGTAGGTAGGTATCCTGGAACCACCACCTGTAGATCTGTAGTCTGGCTGTCCATGGCAGTGGGAGCCAAATGCTAAAGTCTACAAGAACAGTCTCCACTGCTCTGTCCCCATCATGTGGCCATTTTACCTCGCCAGATCTTATGGCGCAAGCTCTCTTATCTTTTACTTTTAGCTAGCCAGCGCGTAACCTTACTGCTGCACTCGAGAGCCCAGAACGCGGCGGTCAACCCTGCAATTACGAACGTTTGTCAGACAAGAGCCTTAATGTCCGGGCGCTTGCCTTGGGGGATCTTTATAACACGCCGCTGTTTTGCAGGAGCAGCGTCAAATCTATAAAAGGACCATTAGGACAGGGGGAGAAAAATCAATCAAAATGCCATTACAGCGGAATAAGTTGCCGATATTGCTGATGTGGTTGCAGCCGCTTTGATTTTCCTTCAGATTATTAGGCACAGGAGCGGAGTAGTGACTTTGTTAAGCCAGCGCGGGGCTTCATAAAGTTTGCTGCCTCATATTTCCCCCCCTTTATTGATTCTCCATTATCATTTGTCACGAGGTGTCCTAACTCAAGGGGAAAAATATAAGACTGTTTCTGCGGCGTGCATGGATCTGCGCGTGAAGGCAGCAGTCCGTGAGGAAAAATGAGCGAACGAGTGACGCTAAAAGGGAGTTAGGCTGGGTGAGGGGAGCAGGTAATGGGTGGGAAGAGCCGCTGTGAAGTGGTATGGCAGCAAAGGCACTAAGCAGGTTTAGTTTTGCCATCTATTGCAATACTTAACTCTAGTAAATGCTGAACAAATATATAAATCAAAACAATAAATGTTTTCGTAAACCCAAGAAGGTACTGGGTTAAATTCCACCTACAGACAGGATGAGTTTTCATATTTTCCCCATGTCTGCATAGGTTTCCTATGGGTGCTCTGGTTTCTCCCACCACTAAAAACATGTACAATAGCCTCTCTCTCTCTGGGGCCAGGACTCTCCTGAAAAAGGTTAAATAAAATAAAAATGTGGTTTCCCACTCACTTAATCACTTTTTACTGAAACTGAAAGGTGAGGGGGCACATCACTTGAGAGATTATCTAAATTGTTTATACATCAAGCAGTGACAAAGTCAAGTGTTTAAATTGTCTTCATTTTTTGTATAAAGCCTGGAAGAAGTGGCAGACTTGTTTATTTAAATGAGAGCATTTGTGTCTGGATATGTTTATATGCCGTATGTTGGCCTGTGTCTGTATTTGTGTTAATGGTGTCTTATAAGCCAATGTGGGCTGGGCACCCTTGTATGCAAGACACTATAATAAAAACATATCTATTTATCTATACTGATCAAATCATGTATTATTTTAGAATGGGATTCTCATGATCAGACTCTAGGGTTGACGAAGAATATAGACAGAAATGTTCATGAACATTTCTAAATCGAGGTCATTTTGTATTAAAATCCGTCCAAGTAAAAGATGAGACATGTTCTATAAGTGTCTTGGTCAGGGAAAGTGAAGAGGTTAACCTGTTTTGTTCCATTCAATACTTCAGTAGGAATTTATTTTCCACCTGTCTCACCATAGCAACTGTGTAAAACATTTGAGCACATATCCATCTTTAACAAAACAAATAACCAGCGGAAGGGCATATTGATAAAGTGTTGAGCTTTGGGCCCATATCCTTCCTCACAATCTAAAATAGTGTTGTCATTTTTCATGGGTGCGATAAGGTGGATTGCTGATCTTTCTTTTGATTACTTTACGATTAGCAGACTTCCTGAGTAAATACCTCCAGAAAACTCTCATTCTCTCAAATCAACCATTTTTGAAACGTGAAAATATTGTATTCCTAGACAAAGCTGTTTGCATACTGTGGTTGTGAGTTGTCAACATGGTCCTATACCTGCAGATTACTTACTTAGTGGTTGGATTTTCCAAAACTCCTATTCGAATTAAATCCAACACGCTACCATTCTAAGACTTTTGTTTGAACTTTTTTCCCAAAGTCTATATGTTTAGAATGACTGCTTGAAATTATAAAATCAAACTTAGAGCATGTATAGGTGAACATGTTCTACAGTTTATCATACAGACTCACCCATGCCTGAAACGCACATAGAAACATTCCATTGCAGCTGCCTGTCAGAAACACTTACAGTATATATCACAAGAATTGCTCATCACGGCCATTTCGTCACAGTGATACAATCCATTTAATCCCAGCCTTTTTAACTCATGATTTAAGGATTTAAGTCGCTGCTTTCGTTGGTGGAAATCAATCCAGCAGGCCTGATTTATCACGTTATCTGAGCTGGGATGGAGATGAGAGATGCAGAGCAGTTCGCTTTGGTAACATAGATAAACTACATGCAGTTGAATGGATGGAAGCATTAGTCTGTAGAGATTCTGTGATGATGCCGATTCAGTGTGGGGTAGAAATATGAGGCTTGTTCCTTTGGGATTGGGTTCAGTCATAGATCTATCTGCCTTTTGTCCATAGTCATAGATTCTAATCTGTTCAAGGGATTTGAATGATTTTCTCCAATATTTACAGTGCCTTGCGAAAGTATTCGGCCCCCTTGAACCTTTCAACATTTCGCCACATTTCAAGCTTCAAACATAAAGATATAAAATTTTAATTTTTTGTCATGAATCAACAAGTGGGACACAATCGTGAAGTGGAATGAAATTTATTGGATAATTTAAACTTTTTTAACAAATAAAAAACTGAAAAGTGGGGCGTGCAATATTATTCGGCCCCTTTACTTTCAGTGCAGCAAACTCAGTCCAGAAGTTCAGTGAGGATCTTTGAATGATCCAATGTTGTCCTAAATGACTGATGATGATAAATAGAATGCACCTGTGTGTATTCAAGTCTCCGTATAAATGCACCTGCTCTTTGATAGTCTCAGGGTTCTGTTTAAAGCGCAGAGAGAACCATGAAGACAAAGGAACACACCAGGCAGGTCCGAGATACTGTTGTGGAGAAGTTTAAAGTTGGATTTGGATACAAAAAGATTTCCCAAGCTTTAAACATCTCAAGGAGCACTGTGCAAGCAATAATAATGAAATAGAAGGAGTATCAGACCACTGCAAATCTACCAAGACCCGGCCGTCCCTCCAAACTTTCATCTCAAACAAGGAGAAGACTGATCAGAGATGCAGCCAAGAGGCCCATGATCACTCTGGATGAACTGCAGATAACTACAGCTGAGGTGGGAGAGTCTGTCCATAGGACAACAATCAGTCGTGCATTGCACAAATCTGGCCTTTATGGAAAAGTGGCAAGAAAAAAGCCATTTCTCAAAGATATCCATAAAAAGTCTCGTTTAAAGTTTGCCACAAGCCACCTGGGAGACACACCAAACATGTGGAAGAAGGTGCTCTGGTCAGATGAAACCAAAATCTAACTTTTTGGCCACAATGCAAAACGATATGTTTGGCGTAAAAGCAACACAGCTCATCACCCTGAACACACCATCCCCACTGTCAAACATGGTGGTGGCAGCATCATGGTTTGGGCCTGCTTTTCTTCAGCAGGGACAGGGAAGATGGCTAAAATTGATGGGAAGATGGAGGGAGCCAAATACAGGACCATTCTGGAAGAAAACCTGTTGGAGTATGCAAAAGACCTGAGACTGGGACGGAGATTTATCTCCAACAGGACAATGATCCAAAACATAAAGCCAAATCTACAATGGAATGGTTCACAAATAGACGTATCCAGGTGTTAGAATGGCCAAGTCAAAGTCCAGACCTGAATCCAATCAAGAATCTGTGGAAAGAGCTGAAGACTGCTGTTCACAAACGCTCTCCATCCAACCTCACTGAGCTCGAACTGTTTTGCAAGGAAGAATGGGCAAGAATTCCAGTCTCTCGATGTGCAAAACTGATAGAGACATACCCCAAGCGACTTGCAGCTGTAATTGCAGCAAAAGGTGGCGCTACAAAGTATTAGCGCAAGGGGGCCGAATAATATTGCATGCCCCACTTTTCAGTTTTTTATTTGTTAAAAGTTTAAATTATCCAATACATTTTGTTCCATTTCACGATTGTGTCCCATTTGTTGTTGATTCTTGCCAAAAATATTTTTTTTATATCTTTGTTTGAAGCCTGAAATGTGGCGAAATGTTGAAAGGTTCAATGGGGGCCGAATACTTTCGCAAGGCACTGTACATGTGGTATTGACAAAAATACTTCTTTTTTTTTTGACTGGGAAATGTGACAAAACACTTAATTATTTTGGTCCGTAACTTTATATTGACTTTGGTGACAGCACTGCAGGTATTTTTGAATTTAGAAAAATAGGACTTTGAATCTGTTTCCATTGGCAAATCCAGACTATCCAACCCAATGCATCTTTTTCTGTTTTCTCTGCAGCATCCAAACTAGTGGTAAGCAGCATGCTGAAGGAGCCATCTTTGATTCCAGACCAAATTCTGGCCAACAATATCTACCAAGTAAGTCATGTGAGAAGAATACATTATAACATAATAAGAAACCACATTAACCCCTTTTTTTCTGGTGAAATCCCCAAAACTATTACTAAGGCAATACTTTTGTTTTTAATACTTTTTGGGGAGGTTTACAATGTTGTAACTTATGAGCTTATGAAGACCCTTTTGCATAATGAAAATGGCTGTGTTCAAATGACAATTGACTAAAAGTTCTATTTTCTGACAAATCCCAGCCTCTGTCAGCCTTTGGAGGTGTGTGTGTGTGTGTGTGTGTGTGTGTGTGCGCGCGTGCACGTGTGCTCGTGTGTGTGTGTGTTTATGGGTAGTGCCTGCCAATCTTCTCACATCTCCTGTGCCCACCCCTTGTTCTCTTCCAGTGCACAATAAATGACTGCTGTTATGGACCATTGGTAGACTGCATCAAACAGTATCCTTCCACCGAAAAGTCGAAAGCTTTGGAATTGACGAGGCGACGGAGTGTAGAGGGGGTAGGAGGTCTGTCATATTAGGGGAACCATGCATTCATAAGTTTGTTTTTGGTTCATTTGAAGATAAAGATTTGTATATATTTCTTCAAGTTAATTACTGAATCAAGTGGTGTCCATACCACTTGATTGCAACAAAGACTTGTCCAAAATATTTTCCACGTGAAATGTGAATGATGGAATGGTGAACTATTACTGTAGCAGTCTGACAGAAGCCATGTTGCCAATCTTCACCGTCTCACACCACCACAAAAGTCATACAAGACGATGTTAGTAAGGTGTCTTGGTTAAGGACAACAATGACAGCCTCAGTGATTCCACAGTTGCTCCTCATATTAAATACGGTCTCCCATCACTGCACTGACCAGACCCTGCACTGAAGATACATAAATAATATTTATCTATAAACAATGCAACAAATAAGCTTTTGGTACAGGTTCTATGTTTGGTATCTATAGTGTGATGTCCCCTGCATGGTTCCACTGTATGGCAATAAGTCAGTTTTTTAATGTAGACAAACTGAGAAGACCCGCAATACGCTAAATCCATGAAGTAGAAACACTCTTTTAAAGCTGTGAAACCCCTCCCACACACTTTACTAACCACCTGAACTTACGACTACTGAAGTGCGATAACGGTGATATCAAACCTATTTGTAGGGGGTCCGAGGGCTGCTGCAGAGGACCCTGTACTGGGGTAGGAGCAGGACTACGGGAAGCCTGCGGTAGTCCTCTAAACTAATCATTGCGGTGCACGCAAACCACGAAAGTTTTTGTCTGACTTTAAAATACAGGTAACGGCCATGTTAGATAAGCGGTTATTTGATGTTGTATGAGATAAGATGGACTTTATTGATCTCACACAGGAGAAATGTACATTATATATATATATTAGGGCTGCACAATATTGGAAATTAGTGCGATATTCGATATGAGTGTTTAGGATCGCGATAACGATATTATTGCGATATTTGTTACCTCAAAACTAGAACCGAAACATACAATCATTTTCTGCGTAAAAAAAACTGTCTTTTAATTGCTACTTTTAAACAAATAATGTTTCTGCTTGTAAATCAAAGTGCTAATTTTTATTAAATAAAATTTTACTCCCAAATGAAATAATCTGTATTTTTAACCTGCCCATGTCAGTAAACTGTTTGTTGAAGACCTTTTTTTCTGAACAGTTTTGCATTATTATAGTATAATTATTATGGAATAGTATATATAGTTGTATATACTAGTTGTATATACTAGTTGTAACTGACATTTAGCCAAATCATTTACAAAAGGGGTTTTAAACATATTTTCATAGATGTTTTTTACAAATGTTTTTAACTACATTTGAAACTTATTACAATATTTGCTTAGCTTTTATCAAAAAGACGCATCATATACAACTCCGCGTAAGTTCTCAGTCAATGATCGCGAGTGATGACGGTGCTTATGGCTGTCTTTCATGGGATTGCAGAAGGGTTTGTCTTTCACAGTACTTGTCTTTACATGCACTGATTGTGCGCTGGGATCGCTGTTTGTCCTGCTCGAACTCATGCTGAAGTGTTTGTGTCTGTCCTTTTTAACACACCGGGTGGGTGCGGATTGCGCAGGTGAACAGTTCCACCCGCCATTTCCCTCAGGTGAGAAGGGGGAGTGGGACTACAAGGCAGTTCGCCAGCACAATCTACAGTGCCTGGCGAAAGTATTCGGCCCCCTTCAACCTTTCGCCACATTTCAGGCTTCAAACATAAAGATATAAAATTTTAATTTTTTGTCATGAATCAACAACAAGTGGGACACAATCGTGAAGTGGAATGAAATTTGTTGGATAATTTAAACTTTTTCAACAAACAAACTGAAAAGTGGGGCGTGCAATATTATTCGGCCCCTTTACTTTCAGTGCAGCAAACTCACTCCAGAAGTTCAGTGAGGACCTTTGAATGATCCAATGTTGTCCTAAATAACTGATGATGATAAATAGAATGCACCTGTGTGTGATCAAGTCTCCGTATAAATGCACCTGCTCTTTTATAGTCTCAGGGTTCTGTTTAAAGTGCAGAGAGAACCACGAAGACAAAGGAACACACTAGGCAGGTCCGAGATACTGTTGTGGAGAAGTTTAAAGCCGGATTTGGATACAAAAAAATCTCCCAAGCTTTAAACATCTCAAGGAGCACTGTGCACGCAATTATATTGAAATGGAAGGAGTATCAGACCACTGCAAATCTACCAAGACCTGGCCGTCCCTCCAAACTTTCATCTCAAACAAGGAGAAGACTGATCAGAGATGCAGCCAAGAGGCCCATGATCACTCTGGATGAACTGCAGATAACTACAGCTGAGGTGGGAGAGTCTGTCCATAGTCCACAATCAGTCGTGCACTGCACAAATCTGGCCTTTATGGAAGAGTCGCAAGAAGAAAGCCATTTCTCAAAGATATCCATAAAAAGTCTTGGGTATTACTTGTTTAAAGTTTGCCACAAGCTACCTGGGAGACACACCAAACATGTGGAAGAAGGTGCTCTGGTCAGATGAAACCAAAATCGAACTTTTTGGCCACAATGCAAAACGATATGTTTGGCGTAAAAGCAACACAGCTCATCACCCTGAACACACCATCCCCACCTCAGCTGTAGTTATCTGCAGTTCATCCAGAGCGATCATGGGCCTCTTGGCTGCATCTCTGATCAGTCTTCCCTTGTTTGAGATGAAAGTTTGGAGGGACGGCCAGGTCTTGGTAGATTTGCAGTGGTCTGATACTCCTTCCATTTCAATATAATTGCTTGCACAGTGCTCCTTGAGATGTTTAAAGCTTGGGAGATCTTTTTGTATCCAAATCCGGCTTTAAACTTCTCCACAACAGTATCTTGGACCTGCCTGGTGTGTTCCTTTGTCTTCATGGTTCTCTCTGCGCTTTAAACAGAACCCTGAGACTATCAAAGAGCAGGTGCATTTATACGGAGACTTGATTACACACAGGTGCATTCTATTTATCATCATCAGTCATATAGGACAACATTGGATCATTCAAAGATCCTCACTGAACTTCTGGAGTGAGTTTGCTGCACTGAAAGTAAAGGGGCCGAATAATATTGCACGCCCCACTTTTCAGTTTTTTATTTGTTAAAAAAGTTTAAATTATCCAATAAATTTCGTTCCACTTCACGATTGTGTCCCACTCGTTGTTGATTCATGACAAAAAATTTAAATTTTATATCTTTGTTTGAAGCCTGAAATGTGGCGAAATGTTGAAAGGTTCAAGGGGGCTGAATACTTTCGCAAGGCACTGTATATACTTCTTTGTTTGTTTGTTGTTCTTGTTGAATGTTGATGTGGCTGTCTATTTTGTTGTCTTTAATAAAGGAAGAAAAAAAAGTGACAAAAATATATATATATTTTTTTAATATTGCAGATATTTTTTATATGGATATCGCACAATATTGCCATAACGATATTGCCATAACGATATTTTTTCAGTATATCGTGCAGCCCTAATGTGTGTGTGTATATATATATAAATATATATATATTTAATTACTGTATGTGTGTGTATGTATGTTATGTGTTATATGTATACTATGTATATAATACATAGTATATGATATTGTTGGAGCATGAGAAAAAAAGAATGCCAAGTTGCCAAAAAATCTTCAAAACAGCAAGGCCACAGCGATAGTGTGGCACCACTGTTCATGTACTAGTCAGGTTTGTGACAAGAAACTTGCAATTATATTACAGTGTACCTTTTATGATATACTCAAGATGAATACTACAAGCATTATTATGAATTTAGTTATTGGACCTGACTTGGACCTGCCTTTGCGCTGCACCAATTAACATATTATTATTATCATCATCAAAACTAATCATTATGTTCTGGTTTCAAAAATGTATTCCAAAAGTACAATTCCTCCCAATTCTACTCTATTTCAAGAACTGCTCATAATGAGTTGGTTTCCATTCAATGCTACATTGACTTTTCCATGCGTCCGCATGTCTTGCGCTCCGACAGCTGTGGCGTGACCCTATTCCAGGCCTCCTCCGTATCACAGTCATTGTCCAGCTCTCATCTCCATGCATGGGGCTGGAGCGCTGTGTTCTGGCCCAGTCATGCCTGTCCTCCACCTCACCCATGGGTCCTTTGTACCCCCAGTCCACTGCAGACTTCATTAAGCCAAACTAAGCAGCGCCTCCGTTACAAGCCTCTGAGCTGTGATGATCTATGTATGATACAAAATGACAATGTATCACAACATCGTGGACAAAAGCCAACTAAAACTACAACAATTGAGTGTAAATTATTCTTCAATAAAAATGAGTCAAAGTTTCCCTTTTAGTGGTTGAAATGGGGGATTGCATTCTGCCTATGACATTAACCAGACATGAAGGCCCATAGTTTTAAAGAACCCATTTCGCCTGGTGAAATCCCAAAAGCTGATTTTAACAATTTTGACTGATTACTTTGCACAGATACAATGTAACTCAATGTTACAAACTATAACATTTGCATTCTATATTTTGGTTCAAATATTTTACTCCTAAGTGCCACAGCCAGCTGCATCTGCTGGAATAATAATTCAACACGTTTGAATGAATGGGATGTCTTCAGATGCCTTCTATTCCAGTTTCACTACATGTGCTCAAGGCTATTATGAAAATGAATCCAATTCAAACCAGAATTTTGCAGAGAGAACGTTCAGACCAGGCCTGTCCTTGTTGACCTTTCGCAGATTGTTTGGCAATTCATAACGAGATTATGAGACATTCTTTTTTACTACTATGACTGTGATTCCTTGACTGCCGTGTCTCAGTGCTATTGGCCAAGAGCATGAAGTCTTGCTGCGGGACAAGCTGATGGAGAGGAACATGTCCTTTTTAGGTAAGTTTTAGGTTATGCATCTACACTATTGGTTTTCAGAGCATAACGGCCTGAATTTAACTGGGGGAAAAAATATATATAAGTGGTAAAATTAGATAATTGCGTAACAACTAATAGCTTACTATACTGTATGCACTGGTCCAATGTGTTCCCCAGATGCTTCTAAGGAAGACCAAAGTTACAGTGAAAGTATGTCATGTGACCAACATTGTGTCTTGTCTGATATAGAAAATCCAATTCAACTAAAAAAGACGAGATGGACAAGCGTTATGCACTGTACCTATTTTATGTGAAATGAATGTGACACATTTTTATCCTGAGGTTAACAAAAATCCAGTTGTCAGTTTTGTGCTCTCTGCATGATCTTGTCCTCTGCTCTCTGCTCTGAGATGAGCTGAAAGATTATCAACATGTTTCCTATTCCAAGAGCCTTTAACTCAATTTTTGCTTTTCTAGTTTTTGTTTAAAAAAAACCTTGAAATGATTTATGACTGTATCCAATGGAGTTGTGCATTTTCAAACTTTTTTTCATAGGCATATTGTACACTGAGAAAAGCAGCCAAAAACCCCCCAAAGTGTGACCCGATCACCATGTTTGTCTTTATCCTACAGTTATTTCTTCCACAGATTTCCCAAAATTCAACGTATCTGAAAGTACAAACTACATCCAACATTGAGTATTTTGTCCATGACTTTGTCTTAGTTTTGAGCCTGTGTAAATCAAGGTGGGGTGTCCAGGTGTGAAATGGGAAACCCTCTGACTTCCATCTCATCGCAGCCCCTTTACACTGTCCATGAGCGATGAGGGATAAAAGTCATTCCCCCTGTCATTAGGCCCATATCCTTTATACAGGCTTCTCTGCTGACCTTATCTCCAGGGCTACTTCTAAAACTGTCAGAGTTCGGGGGGCACTGGGGGCCACCGGGGCAGGCTTTACCACGCCTGATAAATGGATTGGAAATAAGCTAGCCAACAGCAGGGACGGACCATTAATTTTAATCAAAAGTGGTGTGAAAAAATTGCAACCAAAGCCATCTGACAATGTCAACTGTCCAGTATCAGTTGGGACGGAGACGATGGGACGTCCAGCTGTTAGGGGGGCTTGAATGTGTACCGTCATGTTATGGTAAAACTAAACTCCACATAACCATCACTTATTTTGGAAAACCCTTCATAATTGAAAATGTGTCAAAACTTTAACTCAACATTGCTAAAATTGTCTCCATATATTGTAGGAAAAAAGCCTAATCAAACATTTTCCATTGTTATATTTTACAACAATTGGTTTTGATTCTTTGAAAAAATATAGTCACCTCATATTCTGAAGCCAGGATCCACTTTTAGAATTGGATGACATTATTGCTGATTTTTCAAAACCCATTGGTCATACACAAATAAATACAAATACATGTAGGTAATTTTTTAATTTTTAGCATTGAGCTGCATCGAATGAGAATTTCACGTGTCTTGGAATAAAAAGCCGTATCCCTCAACTCTATTTGCTTGAATGATATTCGTCATTTCTTTCATTTTAATGGTATAAAATGTGCATATCAGCATTACACATTTTGCTTTATCTTACCACACACATTTTAATATATCCCAGTATGCCTACCAGGACCGTATTCCCTTAAAGCTGGCGTTGAAATCACGTTAAACGACTTTCATTTTCAGTTATGCGCTTTTAATAGAACCCGTAAAACTTGGCAACGCCATTACCAACATTTTCCGGAAGCGTTGCTGCAGATACATAAAATTTCATAGACTCTACCCCCTCCAGCGCTTCCCCCCTACAGCCTGACCTCCTCTGCTCCGAGCCCCCTACCACGGTCCATTAGGCGAGCTCGGCCGGAGACAAAGAACGAGCTGGTCAATCCGCCGCTGTAATGGAGAAATCAGGTGCACTGGCCGCGGATAATGGCCAACAGAAGAGTCAAGGACGGCACGCGCTGGCTGGGGGCAGGCTATTGACTGTGTGCTCACGTCACCATGCCTCATACAGGCACCCCACCATGACGAACGGTACAAGTCAGCGGTGAACATTGAACAGGGATTGGGATGAGAATCAAATCACCAGATACAGGACACTTAATCATGATCATTACATTACAAGGACAATACGAGTTCTTTCCTTTATTGTCTTTGATTCAGGAAGTTTTCCACAAAATTGACCATATCAGACAAAGGGTGTCGAAAATTATAATGTTGTGTGTAGAAATCAAGACCAGGGCAGCAGTGAATGTTTTGGCACAATTGACCTGCAATAGAGTTACAGCAGGCCTATCATTTAAAGATGCACAGATATGAGAAACACATATCAAAGGGAACAAATATGAATTTACCTGTACATGACAGAGGTATTAATCAGATACTTAGACTTAAGATATTTGTATCCTGTGTTCAGTTCGTTTTCCCGTGTCTGATCTAGCCACTGGTCTCCAACCTTTTTCCTCCAGAGAGCAACTTTTTGGAGCATTAAAGTTTCTTGCTAAAAATTTGGAAAACAGAACAGTGATAGCTACCCTTACTGTTAAGCACCAATCCCACAACCAACTCACAACAATCTCATATGATTTATGAGTGTAAAGTATGTTTTCATAACATAACATATTCATAAAGTTACCTGTATTTGTTCCTTCTAAATCCAATGCGAAGTTACTTTGATTCGTGCTGAGTGAGTGGATGGTGAGTTACTGGTTGCTCCCGAGCTGTTGGTGGCCTATTTTGAGAACTAAACTAAAGCAAGGTCCGTCGTTGTCCGGAGTTGTCCCTTCACTGTCCTCTGTGACCACGTGGTCAGGTGACATAGCTGCGAAGGGTCAATAGCACTGACCCGTTGTTGAATGTTTTCTAACACGGAGGAAAGCTTGGCGTGGAGAGGAGGCTCTTTACGGGCCGGTGTGCAGCGGCAGCAGATCCAGGCTGGGGCAGTTAATGCTTTTACGGTGTGTTTTCTGGCCTGACGCGGCTGAAGGTTGAGTGTCCTTCGTGCTGTTAAAAGTTAGTGCCCTGTAAGGCGAGTATATGAGGGTGTTAATGGGGTTTTTGTAGCAGAATGCGATCACATTTTGAAGTTGCTGTTAAGAGGCAAGATGGGAAAGTTTATTATCTTTACACTTTACAGTAAATTACCAATTTGGAATCGGCTTGGGCTAAAAGCAGGGCTTCACGGTGACGCATTTCCGTCCAATAGGTGGACATATCAGTTTATCTGTAAAATGTTAAAATACTGTGTAATTTATATCAGATGTGCTCTAAATATTTCCACATTAGTGTGTATTTTGACTTGATCGACACTTCAGAGTCATCAGACCTGCAGGCTTTAGGACCGCAGGCTTTAGGACCGCAGGCTTTAGGACCGCAGGCTGCATGTGTTCATCCGCCGCCTGCATGTGTTCATCCGCCGCTCACTAATCTGGCGGATGCACTGCTCACCAGCTCCTAAAACAAGTATCTAAAACACGGTGTAAGGTGAGAAGAGCGTAAAGGGACGTACACGGCCCACGTGCGGAACTTTAAGAAAAGCAGAGCAGAGAGTGAACGGACTATAATAAAAGCTTAATCCACGGATTCTGGAGGGGGCGAGGGCCGCGCAGGTGGCACGTGGACCGGAGCGGACGAGACACATTGACGGGGCACGTGGACGGGAACGGACGGGGTACGTGGACCGGAATGGACATGACACGGACTGAGAGACAAGCAAATGGAAATAACTTATGTCGTCCAAAAATTAATCAGCGCGCACAAAGAATGAGCTCATCGTGTGTGACCTGCGCATAAGACGAATCTGTGGACCTATTACTGAAGTGAAGAAGTGCAGGCGTTTACTATAACAAAGACAACATGAAGTTAAGGAGCCTGCCTCTTTACAGTAAGAAACACACATTTTAATGAACGGATTTTGGCGATTGTTTTGTGGCTCTGTGGTTTTGCTCAAATGCGTGTCCCGCCTGGTTAAGTTTAGTTGAAACTTGTGGACATTGAAGATGGACTTTACCGAATGTGACCGCGCGGAACTTGGTCAGAAGAGATCAAAAGCCCGTGTTGACATGGCCGTGTGCAGAAAGTTAAGATCACTTTTGTTTTTTCCCTTGTGTACAATGCTCGTTCAAGACAGTGATGCACTGTCCATAAGTCACTAAATATTCTTAAATTTTCAAAGCAAAGGAAGGTTTCTCACCCATCATCTGTACAGGTTTTCCCGACGTTTCGTCCTCAATACAAAGGACTTCTTCAGGGAATTAATTCTCAGACCGCGCGTTGGAGATTTATAACCTATGGGTTTGGATTGAGGACGAAACGTCGGGAAAACCTGCTAAGAAGTACAGATGATGGGTGAGAAACCTTCCTTTGCTTTGACTAATCCCTGTACGACTGAGGGCTTACACAAACCAATTCTTAATTGTTGTTTTAAGTGCACTGCTGCTTTACTCCTGGGCTCTCTTATTCTCTGAAATGACAATTATTAACTTTTTATTTCAGTCAAAACTGCTTGTAAGCGATCATTACTTATGTCAGTTTACGTGCAAGAAAGGAACATCTGGGTAAATGAATGAATTAACTGATTTGGTAGAATGGAAGACGTGAGCGTTTCATAATTGTGCTTACTCAAACCTCCCCTATAGCTGACGAATTACACAAGAATAATGGAAATTTGATTCTTTCTATACATTAGGATGGTTTTAGTGGTTGTAATTCCCATTTCCTACTATTACCAGCATATACACAATTTTAAAGTAGTTCCATAACAATATTAATAATGTGCCCTTTTAATCATTGAATCTGCAGAGTCATGTCAATTGAAAGAACAAACGGTACAAAATATGCTATCAACGTTTTTGTTGAAGTTGTCAAAATGTGCAGCTGTCTTTGTGCCTTCTGCATGTATAATGTCATCTATACTTGATTGAAGTCCACATTTTAGTATTTTATTTTATTGAAATCTATGTTTTTTTATCCCTTAGATGAAAACCAACTGAGGATCATGGGCTATGACAAAACACCTGACATTATTCTGGAGGTGCCGGTTGGTAAGTAGATTTGGACTACCTCAAATAGATTTTTTGCTTCCTGACTTGGAAAAGGAACTACTTCATGACAGACAGTCCAAGTTGAGCTCCTTATTGTCTTAGTTGAGTCAAGTGACCACCTGATGCTGAAATCGCAGAAACTGTTTTAACTCATGCTAAACCGGTCCTCGAAGGGCCGGTGTGGCTGCAGGTTTTCATTCCAACTAAGCAGGAGTGCATCAGACTCACTGTATAACCTCAAGTGAGTCCAGGTAAGGTCGAGAACCTTACCTTAAGACTTGAGGAAATGGGCAGAGTCTAGTGTGCCTCTGCTTGTTTGGAATTAAAACCTGCAGCAATTTCTGAAACCAGTTTGACAGCGCTATGACAGCGCTATGATGCTCATTACAACTGAGTTTTGACGTTTTAAAAATGTTTTTTTTTACCCGACATTATTTCAAAAGCGTATTCATGAAATACAAAATAAAAGGTATTTACATTTACTATTGTATTTAGCGGACCTCAAGACTCACATGGTGAAGTAGACTAATGAGAGAGGGTGGTTGCAGCTGTGTGAAAGAGGCTCAAGACATCACATGAACGTTCAAGTAGCTTAGACACAGGACAAGGTCCACTAAAGGTCTGTATTTGCTCGTGCTGCGCTGGTTAAGTTGGCGGTTTCACTGGACCTACAGCCACAGTTGCTCGTATTCTCGGGCGTACCCCCTGCAGAGTTTTGAAGAGAATGTTGTAATCCTGCTCCCAACCACATGACGCCATCTCACAGCAGTCCCATTTACACAAGCTACTTTCTCTTCAGAGCAAAAACATTAGCGAATCAAGCTGTTTGAGCTAAATGTTTATCTAGGCGTAAGTTTATGTTCCAGTTCTATAAACTCATTGTTTCATAACTCATTTAAAATCATTGTGACTCTGGTCTGTGAAAGGCGGTATAGATTACTTACTCACTTACTTAAACTGTGATGTTATGAATAAAGACAGTGCTTGTTTGAAACAGTTATTATTAAATTATATTCAGCACAATCAGCAAAACAATATTTGATAAATATCTGAGACCAAGCATGAACTTTTTACTGGTGCAGGAGGAATGCAACAGACGCGATAAGCTCCAAGTGCAGATTTAAACAAAGACGGGCAAAGTAACAGTGAAAAAGAAACAACTGTACAGTATATAAATGTTCGATATGCAACAAAACTCTTGCCCACGGCCTCTGCATATATCAGGCTCTGAGTCATGATCCCAAACTGCTTTTCCTTCGGTTCCTTCGAACCACGAAGTAATTTGCTCCAAAGTGCCTCGTCTATGTTCCCCGCAGCCGCTCCATGCTTCCTTCCAAAAAATAATCCCACACGGGCCAATCACAGTGGACCTTTTCTGCAGCGCCGGCTGCATTTTTGAGGGTACACGAGTGGCTACGCAAGGGTCTTGCGGTGATCCTTGCATTGGTCAAGTGATGTCACATCACCACCGTAAGCTCACACTAGGCTTTATTGTTGTAAAGTGTAAAACACCACAATGTACCAAGCTCTGCTCCATTATATCAGACACAGGTCTGTTTATTGCTCTAAAGTCCGAAGTGTGAAAGTCTTAACAATGTTTGCACTGCCCCATTATCTTGAGTGGGCGTATTGGTTTAGGGCACCTTCCTCGTTAGTATAGTGGTGAGTATCCCCGCCTGTCACGCGGGGGCCAGCCGCGTATAGTGGGCATATCGTGCCAGCCAATCAGAATGAGCCTGTCAGCCACGTGCCTTTGTGATGAAGTCCAACCAATCAAAATGCAGGGATATTTACAGACGCGAGTTCGAAACCCGTCTCACCCCAAATAAATCAAACTTATTTTAAAGTTTAAAGTTAATAACTGGATCTCATTTTGACCTTAATAACAGCCACATTACCTTTAAAGTACATAAATGTAACTATTAGAGAGCTTCTTTGAAATGTAAAACTTGAAATGATCAGTGAATTGACAGTAATAATTAACAGCAATGTCATGAAACCTTTTGACCTGCACAAAGTGTGTGTGTGAAGATCACAGAGGCTTATCCCCAAAGGCCTCACACACAGGTTAAAGGTCACACCTCCTCAGGATGGGAAAAGTGTTGATCAAGGGATTTAGACAAACACACCTGGAATATCCCAGAGGTGAGAACTCTGCAGGGGGTGCTTTGAACAAGTTCAACAATAGCTGCTTTGATCCCACTGACACTGAACTGAAACTCTATTTTCTATACAGATTGTTTTGTTAAATACTGTTGTTTGCCCTGAAATATGATCAATAAAAAGAAAGACTTCAATAATGTATGACATTATAATATATTATTGTGAACAGATGAAAAAAGAGATATTTTACAAATTTAAGAAATACACCTAGAAGAAAAACAACAACATGCTATCTTTATCTTCTTAAACTAGTATTTGTGTGATGAGCCCTGTGACTGTGACGGCTGAGAGCTGACTATACAGAACTGTAGATGCAGACTTTACAAATGAAATTATATAATTAGATATAATCAATATTAAGTATATATTTACATAATAATTAGAATATTTATAAAAATTATGAACAGACGGTATAATATAGTAACTATATACAATAGCACCAATGGACAGCAGATAGCTCATTTATTTACACGCCACCTTTCCCTCTCCCGGTCATAAAAAGGAGACTGCTGGAACATCTGCGTCTCCATCCCCTGGTCCTTGTACAGGGAGAATACTTTGGCAGGGCAGTAGATGTATTTTCCTGACAGACCAGGGAATTGTGTATGAATGTGAGGACTGTTGTCCCTGCTTCAGCTGCAGTTTGCAGAACCCGCACTTTCTCCCAGTGGCAGGAGACTCATCTCTCTTCCTTTTCTTCTCCTGCCGCTCATTCACTCTCTGCTGCGTGGCCTCCAGCTCTCTCTGGTAGAACTCAGTGTCCATAAAGTCTCGGAATGGCATCCTGGAGTTGGTCAAACCCTCTGTGCGATAGGTGTTATAGAACTTGGTGGAGCAATAGAAATACCTGGTAGGACCCGGCTGGTAAAACTCGTGGATGGAGCTGCCATCGCCCTCATATTTGGATTTTGGCTGGCCACAAGACAGGCATTTCTTTGTGTGGGGTTTATTTGCTGGAGGCTGCTGCTGCTTTTCCAAGATCCGCTGCACAACCTTCTCTATGGCCTCCTCAGACAGCGGTGACATGAGTCTGAGCAGGAGGAGGGGTTCACGCTGCGGGGCATGTGACAGCAGGCGCTGTGCTGGTCTTACTGCCTGCTGTGAGCGAGTACTCCCCCAGCACTTCAGCCTTGTCTGAGGCATCACCTCCTCTCACTCGCACCAGAGTGAGGGCGTTCTCCCTCACCACCTCCTCCCTCAGAGGAGCACCGCACTCCCTCATGGACGGGTCGTCCCTGATCTCCCTCGCCTCCTCCGAAGGGTCCTGCAGCAGGAATCCACGTGGGCCCTTGTGAAAAATCACAGTGACGCGGCCAGGAAAGAATGAAAATGTCTTCATATTGTCTGCAACAACAAAAAAAATATAAAATATCTAGCTATAGATGATAGAGAAGTATGTATAATGTATATATCTTTAGCATAATAAAGAATAAAATAATTAAATTTAGCATAATAAAGAAGCATGAATCCTGTATAATCTAGAGAAGACATATACAGTTGTATGTTTACATCTGGACATTAGCAGCATGAGGCTCTGGGATACAGTAATACAGTTTATAGAAGGAAAATATGAACTGGTAAAACACTAATACATTGTCGTAAACTAACTGCATATAATTCATTTTCAACTCAATGTGTTGCTGAACTATAGAAATGTGAAATACATATAGATAGTACACACATCAACGATAAGCATACTGCACACTACAGTACAACAGATGGAGCAAACTGTATTATACACTTATTTTGGCATCATGTGACTAACAGTACTATGCCTGTCACACATTATTAGCCTTAAATCACGTTTATGAGACAATAGTAAGTGAACAGAGAAAGAGCACAGTGACAACACTGAGCCAAACTCACAGCAGCACTTATACACAGCCTGTTACAAAACTATGTGCATTAAACTTATTAAAAGTGCATTTGATCTGTATACAGTGTGCTTTAGCTCACGTGTGTACATCCCAAAACACCGCGTTAACTAGCGCTGGAAATACTACTACAACCAGACGTAAACAAACTGCATTACTGTATACAGTAGAATACAGGAATACAGATTGTTTGACAACGCAGAGAAAGTGTTTTCTTTACAATATTGATCCAAACAGAGAGATCTACGAGCAGCAGCAGCAGCAGCAGCAACAAACATATGACACGGAGGTAAACAATCATAAACAGCGCACTACACACTCGAGATATAAACTACAGACGTGTGTGAACGATCTACGCACAATATGAGAGATTTATGGAGTGAAACATAAAGAACGAGCACAAAAACATTGTGTTTATCAGAGGAGACTTACCGAGTGCGTGTGTAATCCACAATGAATGGAGAAAGCCGGCTCTCTCCGTTTTAGAGCAGCGCGCCCACGTCACTTCCGCTGGCACCGGAAGTGACGCATGAAACTTTTACCCATTCACTACCGTTGAAAATGGTTTAGCTCTGTTTAGGTAAACTATTCTCGGCAGCCGCGCGGAGGCCAGCCGCGTATAGTGGGCATATCGTGCCAGCCAATCAGAATGAGCCTGTCAGCCACGTGCCTTTGTGATGAAGTCCAACCAATCAAAATGCAGGGATATTTACAGACGCGAGTTCGAAACCCGTCTCACCCCAAATAAATCAAACTTATTTAAAAGTTTAAAGTTAATAACTGGATCTCATTTTGACCTTAATAACAGCCACATTACCTTTCAAGTACATAAATGTAACTATTAGAGAGCTTCTTTGAAATGTAAAACTTGAAATGATCAGTGAATTGACAGTAATATTAACAGCAATGTCATGAAACCTTTTGACCTGCACAAAGTGTGATGTGTGAAGATCACAGAGGCTT